GCACAATGACGCCCTAGTAATCTGCATCCAAATTGAACAAGCTGTGATCGAGCGAGTTCACGTGGACGAGGGCAGCGCAGCCAATATCCTACAACTATATGTTATCCAATAGATGGGATTGGAGCCCAAGATCAGCAAACTTGCCAGATCACTCACCAGCTTCAATGGGGCCACGTCAATCACTGTTGGGACAATTAACCTAGACGTCCACTCACCCCCAGTGGTCTGCTCGCAAACCTTCATGGTCATCGACGAGGTCTCTCCCTACAACGGGATTTTCCACACTCTACCGCCCGCGTTGATAGGCAACTTCAAGGAGTTTGCCCTCATCTTCACAAAGGAGTACACCTCCTATAGGACGGTTAGAAAGCATGCAGACCACCTATTCAACCTGCACAAGAAACCAGTTGAGTCTCTTCGAGACTACCTCAGACGGTTCAAGGCTGAGAAGGCGAACATCATAGGATGCAATGACCAAGTTGCATCCTCTTAACCAGCTGGTGGATTCAACTTCCGGCAATCAGCTGCTCAGCTTCATGGACGCCTACTCTGGTTATAATCAAATTCTAATGTACGAGAATGACAAGGCGAAGACTTCTTTCATCATAGAGAGAGGGACCTACTGCTACAAGTTCATGCCTTTTGGGCTGAAGAACGCCGGAGCAACCTACCAAAGGCTTGTGAATAAAATTTTCAAGGAGCAGATCGGCAAAACCATGGAAGTCTACGTGGACGACATGCTGGTCAAAGCCCCTAAGCGAGCAGACCACATCAAGAACCTCACTGAGGCGCGGCATAGCGCTATGCACTTTGGGACGATGACGTATTGCGGCGAAGAAGGCCAGCAAGCAAGCTGATCACCCGACAAGGCAGGCGAGCCAAAAGAGCAACAAGTTCGAGCCCAAAGCCAGAGATAGGTGATCGGTTCATAATTGTATATCATTTTGTACCCTTCTAGCTTATGATTTGGTTATGTTTTTGAGTTAAACTTGTGCTTTTAATCCTTTTTGTGTTTATCTTTCAGTTCATTGAGCTTTAGGTAAATCGAGGCACACCCACGCCAAATCAAGGCCATTCTCGAGATGAAGTCACCTTCAACAGTAAAAGAAATACAAAGTCTGACGGGCAGAGCAGCGGCCCTCAACCGATTCCTGTCGAGATCCACCGACAAGTGCAGACCATTCTTCAAGGCTTTAAAGAAGGGGCAAAGAGATAAATGGGACGAGGAGTGCGAAGAAGCTTTCTAGAATTTAAAGACTTACCTCACTTCACCTCCCCTGCTCTCGAAGCCAGTTCCTGGTGAAGACTTGTTCGTGTACCTGGCACCTCCCCAAAAGGTCATACGGATCAACACCATTCTAGCTGACTCCCAGGAGTCCGGGCTGACCACCAAGGAGTGTAAGAGAAAGATCGTGCAGGCGACTTATGTCTCCCAAGTCACAACGGGCGTACCAGTCACTGCAGATACACCCATCATCGGTTTTCAGAAGAAGGACTTGATCGGGCTTGATCTGCCGCACAATGACGCCCTAGTAATCTCCATCCAAATTGAACAAGCTGTGATCGAGCGAGTTCACGTGGACAAGGGCAGCGCAGCCAATATCCTGCAACTATATGCAACCCAAAATTGGAGAAGCTCATTTTGGCCCTTGTAGTTTCCGCGAGAAAGCTGCGACCCTACTACCAAGCTCATCGAGTCATCGTCATGACCGACTTTCCTTTGAGGTCAATCCTGCACAGCCCTGACGCGTCTCAA